CTGGGACAGATCAACCAAAATTTAGCAGCCACAAAAACCAAAACTGGGCTCTTTATTTGATTAATTTTTTTTTCCCCCTACTCCATCGAGTTTCAGGCAGTGGTCGCTTGTGAGAATCCGTCTCACTTTTTCCCCCCGCTCCAGACTTTCCACTCGTGCGCCGCCGCCAACAGATGCCACACTTGGACCTCTGAATGCTGCCATTTAGAGGGAAAAAAAAAACATTCTGGATCTCTCTAATTACGACAACACGGGGCTAGCGGGCTACGCTCGACTGCAACTGCACGCGCTTCGACTCGGTTGCAAGCCACGGGCACAGGCTGGCACCCGGTTCCGCCGGTGCCGCTTTTTTTGGCGCGTCACGTGTCAGAGATGGCAGTCATAACACGGAGCGCCTCTTTCAGTTTGGGTGCCTCCAGTCAAAACACGAGCACCTTCCAAAACGCTGTCGGGAAGCTCCCGCCATCGCGTGAAGGACGTTCTCATCATTTAAAAGCACTTTGTCAGCGTACCTCAAGTTTACGTTTGGAGCTTTTTCAACACCACGCGACATAGCGTCGTGTTGCCATATATTATTTATCCTCTGCGAAGAATGACGACGATCGTGACGAGTTGATCAGGCTGTAATTGTCCTGATAAATAATCTTTTGAAAGAATTTGATTCATTTGTAGATGGTCTCCAACTATTAAAAAAAAAAAAAAAAAAAAAAAAAAAAAAGCTGAAATGTTTTCTACAACCAAAACCTTGATCCATCATACTTTGCTTCAAACGGCATTATAAGGAATGGTTGGACTAACTGCTTTCGGGGTAGTTCGATGCTGGTTTTAGTGGAGGGCAATAAATAAATTGCGCACAGCCGGTACCTAAATAAACGTATGGACCAAATTAAACACTGCAGACGCACATACGTGTCAATCACCACTCACCCCGGTCCGTGTTTGTTTGGCCCGCATGTCGCGGCTTGTGTGCGACCTGCTTTCTATTCTTCCGACTTGGGTCACCACAACCACTGTGTACACACACACACACACACACACACACACACACACACACACACACACACACACACACACACACACACACTTCCAGGAAAAGATGCTTGCCACCACAGTGATGACCTGAGCGTCGGCTCCACAACACACCAGGGAGATGCTGACGTCACTCTATGGCATTTTTTCTTTTCTAGTTTTTTTTTTGTGTCCCAAACAGCGATGGGGTCAATGTGTGCGACGGTCGTTCGGGGAGTGTGTGTGTGTGTGGAGGGGGTTGCATCCTGTAATTACTATACTTACTCCATTTGGCAGACGTCTGATTTATGGAGCAATGTCCAAACAACAGTATCATTTATTTATTTTGCATTTATTACATCGGGGGAAGTTGTTTTTAAAACCACTATTTGATTGACAAGAATTATTACACTGCGGCTTACTTTATTTTGGCTTCTTGACTCTGCATCACTCGCACGGGTCTCCCCCGTTGGTACGACGGAACGTTCCGGCGAGACTCTCTGTATTTGTGTTCCATCCAAAATGTTCTTTTTGTCATACTTGCTTTTGACCAGTGAAGATGATTCACATTGCTAATTAGCAGAATTCCACAAACAAGACAGGTTTTTTGAAATAATCCAGAGACAGGAAGTGGGCGCCGAGAGCATGTGAGACGACTTTTTCACAAAGTCACGGACTGTCGCGGAGTCAAAGTCAACCACATCATCCATGACTAAATGGAGTGCCTCAATTTGTGAATAGCGAACCGCAAATATGCAGCCGATGACTGCATTTTGGCATTATTCTAATTTGAAGTCCTTTAACATTGAACTGAAAGAGTCACTGTCATTTTTTTAGGGTAATTAAAGTCGCTATTTTGGAAAGGGTGAAAATAAGTCCGGTTCAAAGAACTGACCAAAGTCAGGCGTAGAAAGGAAGTGGTCACCAGCTGCATGTGATACCAAAAAAAAACAAAAACAAAATACACACACAACCAGAGGAGCGAAGCCAAACACATCATCCTTCAGCAACATCTTTGCAAACTTTCGTGGATCAACTTGGCGATGGAGCGAAACAACAGAAATTGACCAACGGTGCTTCCATCTCATCCAAAATGGCTTCCATTTGTCAACTTCAATAAGTTCTTCCTGCCTATAACAAAATATCCGCCCAATAAGCGAGTTTCTCAGCCAAAAAAAACCCCGACAAATCAGCAAATTGATGAATCTGCTTTGATTCCCCCCCCCCACCCCGCCCAATTTGATCAACACTGTATAATCAATGTTATTTCAAAGGGAATAACACGTCAAAAGACCAAATCTGGCGCAGTCAGGAAGTGGACACCAACAGCATGTGATACAAGAACAACTTCGCAAAAACCACCGCCGGGGATTCCAAGTCAACCGCATCATCTTTCACCAACACCGTCACAAGCTTTTCGTGAGGCAGCGCGACTGAAAATGACCGGCAAAGCGGGGGAGGGGGGAGGCTTCAAGAAAACGGCCTCCGCTACTCAATTGCGTCTTGTTCTCCCCTGGCTCGGACAAATGGCCGACCCTAAAGGCCAATTTGGTCGCTTAAAAGTCAAAACGCTGGCCGGGTTGCGCACACGTCAATGTCATGCGGTGCCAAACTGACAGACATATGGCCATGCAAAACACACACACACACACACACACACACGCACACACACACACACACACACACACACACACACACACACACATTAATACGCTGGCGGTCATTAACAGCAGCCCTGTCCTCGCCAGACTTAACGCTCGCTAATTGCTCATGTATGGCCCCTTTCACTGGGCTCTTTCTACACTAACACACACACATACACACACAGCACAACAAAGCGCGCCCGCCGTGACGTCGGGTGTGTTGATATAAGGAGCAAACACAAGTGGAAAATTGGACTTGCCAGTGGCCAGACTGCCGACTTCCTGATAGGAAGAGTTTGACCCATTTCTATTTACACATATGTGCATCAAGTCACAGAGGAAACGCGCGCTTGCGCACAAAAGGCCGGTGTGTTGCGCGCGGCGTCAACACAACTTGTAATTGAAATGTTTTGCATGGTTATTTGAGGGATTGAATTCCATTACACTTTGTAAGAAACAAACACAAAGTTATGTACTCGTAAACCGGCATCAGCACTTTTTTTTTTTTGCCATGCTATTTTATGTGACTGACTCGAATCTAAACTTCAAAAAATTTATTTGAGTGGGATTAAAAAAAAAAAAAAAAAATAAGAGAAAATGTGTTTGTTTAGTTTCTTTTCTTGAACAAGTATTTGAAGATAATTGAAGAGTTTCACGTGATTGGCCATTCGCTCGCCAAACACACCATCACAGCCGTCTTATCCCAGCAGGGGTGATCTAATCAGGTTTGCCTGGACCTAATCTCACACTGTTCTCCCGTAATAAAGACAAAGCATCAGTTGAGATGGAATCTGGCCTGCTGTCGGGCAGGAAAACCTTTTTTTTCTCTCTATCGGGGTTATGAAAAACACGATATGCATTCAAGTGACTTGGCTCGGAAGCGGTCACGCCACAGAGGCGACAAGTTCCTCGCGGCGAAGCAAAACCGCACTTTGTACACAAAACGTGCTTCCTGGTTTGCCACACTGTGACAATCTTCTCTGCGAGAGGCCACAACATCACGTATTATTTACTACTAAGTTGGGATGCATTGAAACCAATTCCACTGACTATTATTATTATTTATTATTATTATTATTATTATTATGAAGGCAGTGGTACCAGGCCAATCAACTATCAACTGCACTTTACCAGCCCGACATATACATACTCATATACTCGAGCGACAGCAGGGACAAATATTCGAGTCCTCCCATCCACTCGGCGCGCTGCTCGGTTTTGCAAGGAGAAGTAAGCGGTGGTGTTATACAGTAACGCTTATTTTATAACTATTCTCGAGAAGCATTTTTTCATTTTGTTGACCTCACTTTATTCATGCGGTAACATGGTGTCCCTATTCCTGCAATTCTGCATTCTTCTTCGTCTCATCTCTATACTTTTACACAGCGCCCCTGGTGGTCACATTGAGACAGCACATAACCAAAATGCCTTGGTACAGACTACACTGATCGGAAATGCATGCCAAATGTTAAAATGTCATTAACAACAAGTTGGGACTATTAATGTGATATTTGAGTGAAACTGAGGCTACACCTAAGACATGTTTATGTTGTTTTTGTAACGTTTTGGATTACAGTTCAACATTAAGCACAAATGCAAGATGTACTGACATAAGGAATCGGTGGATGGATTGGCGAGTACTCACACATAAGTACCTGAACTTGTACTTGGTGAAGGGAAGTGTTATGCCCACGTACTGTGAAAAACTCAAGTCAGACACATAGGAAATTGACTTGCATGTCGAGTTACTCTGTTGTGAATTTTGTCAAACACATCGGCCATTTTGCAAAACAATCGGACATTAAAAAAAAAGGTCATATTCAGGTTATTTTTCAATTGTGCATTTTTAGCCATGTGTCCAGACTCTTCACTGTGACTCCTCGTCGTTTCTTGAGCATTTAAGCCCCGAAAGAAGTCGCTTCCCCCGAGTGCACCACCTCCTAATATTACCCGCTTATTATAATACATGTAAATAAACTCAAATAAATGAGCGCGTTTCCCTGGGCAGGTTGGCTTGCCTCAACTCCTCCAAAGTTCTCAGTTTAACGTCACCGTTGATCACTCACACCAAATGCGCCCGGGGCTAGCCGAGCATGATGCAAATGATTGTTCATGAACGTTCCCTTCCCGGGCGTGTGTTGAACAAAACCCACGGCGAGTTGGGACGGAGCCTCTCAGGCGCCATCGTCTGCGGCCACTTTCCCTTGGAGAAGTTGGTGAGTTAGCGTGCTAGCGATCGTTAGCCGTAGAAGCTAAGCACTCTTGTTTTTTTTCCTCCCTCTGAGTAGAGCACCAACAAATGTATTAAGTTGGAAGGTAAAGTTTAAAAAGGTGAACATATGTACTCACCCGAATCCCCCGGGGTCTTCATTGCGGTCGTCGGTGGACTTCTTGGCTCACTTTTCCCGTCGAGTGCTAACTTTTCCCCTGGGCTTAGTTCGTTAGCCACGTTAGCCTCTCGGTCCTCCCGTGTTGTTCTCACCGAGTGGCCCCGAAAAAAAAGCAGCGTCTCCTCGGCTTCTTTCACCCTCAATCCTCGCTTGAATAACTTTGGTTCACTTTCTGCTCGCTGCTGGAAAACTTTTACGAGCCGCTTTGAAGGGTTTTTCTTCATGCGGGGAAAAGTTGCCCCGTGTCGCCTCAGACGGAATCCGGTAGGCAGGCCGAAAGTTGGGGGGCGGGCGGCGAGTGCCGAGGGCTCGCTTGATGGGAGCGAAGGAATGGTGAAGAAGCGTCGGCGAGCCTACAGTGTGAATCGGCTTGTGGGAACGACGTCGCGTGGTCCACTTGTGCTCCACATCATCGTCATCCTCCTCCTCCTCCTCCTCCGCGTCTTCTTCTTCCTCCACACCCTCGGCCCAAACGGCGGCGCTGCTCGGAGAAACAAACGTAACCAAGTCAACTCTTCTTTCTGTGCGCTGCCTTTCTCCGGCGCACTTTTTCTTTTTCCACTCACGGGAGCGCCCCCGGGCCCCCTCCTCTTCTTCTTCTGTCGGGTGTCGTGTTTCGCTCCCCCCTTCTGCCACACGGGGCCGCCCACGCGCACCCACGGCGGGAGGAGGCGGGGGAGAAAATCAACGCCCACTTGTTGCCAAAAGATCGTCGTTCTTTGGATTTCAATGACATTCTGTGTGATTTAACAAATTTTCAAGGCCCCCACCCCGAAAACTCGACAGAAGTTGGAATATTATTTGTTCTGACATATACTGGACTCGATTAACCCAGTGAAATTCACGGCAAGAGCATGCATGGCAAACGGGTGCCCCCGTAATTTACAATGAGTGTATTGTGCGAGTCTGTGTGAGGAAACATGGACCAAAGTAACGCACGTGAACGCGAAGGAGCAAGTAATCTAAAAGAAGACGGTCCATGTGGCATCTGTCCTCGCCCACTTGGAGTAGGGATGTCGGGTAAGATTACGTTTTCTCCTGATGCTTCTGTAAAAGATGTGACAGCGGTCTGAAAAATATTAAAAGGTCTTTGCATTTAAAATCATAAAAAGTAGACCATGTTCGCAAGTCAAACGGGCAAAGTTATAGATTTGAATGACAATAGTGTACTGTCACACTTTGTGTCAATCGGCGATCTCGGACCAAGTGCGTTCGATCGTGAGGCGCCACCGGGTTCTGTTTCGTTGCTATAGAAACCAGGAAGTGTTTAGCGGCAAAAGATGGGGAAGTAGGTGAGGAGGGAAGAGCCAATCAGCATCTGTGTATCTGTCTTTCCATCCATCCATCCATCCATTCTGCATGTGAAGTTTGTTGGGGAATGAGTGCCGGCAGTCAGACATTTCACGATGATTGTCGCCGACACGACATCGGCCTCGTCACTTGTTACAGCACAGCCACGTCTTCTGTGAGCGTCCTACTCGCCGCCTCCTCGGCAGAGGGAGGGAGGGGGCTCCATCTTCATCCTCTCACCTCCCACTTTACTCCCCACACTTGGCTCAGCCGCGCACGCCTCGCCTCCTTCAAGTCGGCCCTTGCAACCCCCGGTTGATAATCACCTCGTCTTATGCCTCACTGCTTTCGTATTCTTCACTTCTTTCTCCTCCTTTTGCTCTTTGCGTCCTCTTTCTCTGCTCTTTTTCTTCACCGATGACCATTTTCCCAAATTCCTTCTCGGGACCTCACGTCTTCACCTCCCTTCTACTCACTTCGTGGTAAACTTCTATTTATTCCTTCCTCACCTCTTGAACAAGAACTTCGACTGGCTTCCTCCTCACCTACTTTTGTTTTTCTTTCTTTAGGGGATCACATTTTCTCCTCAACTGTTTTTGTTACTTGTTCACCTCCTCTTGCACCTCACTTCGAATTGTTTCTCACCACTGTTCGATTCTCACCTCTTGTTCCTCACTTCCATAAACCCCCCGCCCCTCTCTTCTTTAGTTCCTCTTGCTCCTCATCCCTTTCCCTCCCAATTTGCTCACCTCATCTTGCCCCTTACTTCCTCTTTCTCTTCCCCTCCGAATGCTCCTCACCTAGCCTACTTCGTCACCTCTTTTTCTCCATCTCCTGTTGGCACACTTCCATTTTTCCCCTCACCTCCTTTTGCTCCTCATCCACTTTTTCCCCCCTCTCATCTCAATTCTTTTTGCCCACCCCCAGCGCCTCTTGCTTCTCATGTTTTTTTTTTCCCCTTACAGGGAAAAGCAGAGCGCAGTATGAATAAGTTGCCATGAACAAGTTGCAACATGCTTGCTGCACCTCCTTTCCCCTATAAAACGTGTATAAACGTGACAGCCGCAAAGCTTTTTAGAGCAACCGTGAAACATCATCTCATGAAACATCAAAATGATTTCAAATGACATCCGCACTTGACCCCTTTTGAGGTTAACGGAGTACCTAAAAGAGAGAAAAGAAAAAAAAAACTTAATCGTGCTTGTGTCAATATTGAATCGTATTGTTCGTTTTGAGTAAAACTCGACTGACTGGAAACTGAGCAGGCTTTCTGGGAATTATCGAAATCGTGACAAAAATATCATGCAAATTTGGAAATATTTGCTTTTTATTGCCGGCAAGAGTTTAAGCATGTCAGCTTGATACGCAAACAAGACAAAGAATGGACCGGGACTGCTCAACAACATCAGGATACAGGGGAGGTGTACCTAATGAAGTGTCCAATGAGTGTATCTTGGAATGCAGAAAGGCAGAGAATGGGACTGGGGGTGAGTTTCAAGGTTCAAGGGAGTGTCGGGGGGGCTGGGTGGGGCTCAAGCCTGTGTCTGCGGCGTGGACACTCCTCGCTCTGCATGTGAAAGCGTCGGCCACATGAGGCCAGCGGGGCGTCCGAAGGGCAGCATACATGTGAATTGGTGCGAATTTGATCAACGCACTTCATTACGGACGTGCTAATCAGCTCCATCAGGATGCGGGAGCCGGCAATTACAAAGTATTATTCACTATTTCAGACAGTCACCTCAAAAAAATTTTCTTTTGGTTGGTCCAAAGAGTTTGCTCCATTGGAAATCATGGAGAAAAAAAAAACATCTAGTCCACCATCAAGCTGAGGAAAATAAGCAAAGCTATAAGCAAAGCATGAAGAAAAAATTATCTGAGATTGTAGTTTTGAAGATTTAATTTTGGGTTTTTTTTCCCCATGTTTTTAATGAAGGATTTTTTTTAAAGTTTTTTTTTTAATTATTTTATTTTAATCAGGTGCCACACCTAAGCAGTGCCAAGCAACCCTGTAATTGGCAGTGGCTTTACCCCCATCCCCCCCTCCATCAGCATAGAGTCAACACACACACACACACACACACACACACACACACACACACACACACACACGCACACACGCACACACTCACACTCGTGACAGTAGATGTCAGCCCGCCTGCAGGGGAAAGTTTCTTGCTCTTGTTTTGGGTTTCTTCCGCCCATAACTGCCTTCCTCCATGATGACATGTTTGATGAAGGAGCCCCGTTGTCTGTCTCTTCTCAGGTCACATGATCAGATAATACGGGAAGGGGGGCGGCGGCGTACGAGGAGACCAACACCAAGGGCAAGTGGAACGGACGGAGTAAATGGGGGAGTGTTGGAGGGCGGGGGGTTGAAAGGGTCCTTTGTGATCAAAAGGCTTGTTTATTTTCTCGGTTGCAATGGCAAGCTGGCATCCACTGGCGAATGTAACGTGACCCACACGTGCTAACGCCGCCACCGCCGCGTTTGTTAACGTTTGATATTGCCCATCTTAAATATGAAATAGATGTTGCTTTGAAAGCGGCCGGCTAATTGGCTAACGGTTAGCCTGTCACAATTAACCCTTTCATGCACCCTGTAACCTGATCACATGATAAGCTGTCCACTGTAGCAACCGCTGTCCCTCAAAGGGTTTAAAGGACAAAAGTCAAATGCGCATTATGAAGTCTGTCGAGCAACAAGTGACCACTCCAGAGACTCAAGAGTGATTGGCTTAAATTAGAATTTCATCTGAAACTTGAATCCACGAATACTACAGTTTGATCATGTTAATAAGTCAAGAAGGGGGTTTCAGTAAAATGTATCCCATAATCCATAGAAACAACCGATTCTATGTCAAAACAAATGCTGAAGAAACGTTTCTTTTAATTCAACTAATTTACAGAAATTCCGAACTCAAACAGGAAGTGACGCTGCATATGATGTGTGAAGGACATTTGTGGCGTGTAAAAGTGACATTCCAGCAGTGGGGAATGCTAAGTGTCATCTGAGTGTTTCAGTTCGTGTGTGTGTGTGTGTGTGTGTGTGTGTGTGTGTGTGTGTGTAAGCTGTACAATGTAGTAGCCGCTGTCCCTGAAAGGGTTAAATGATTATATCTGAAAAGTAATTAAAAAAAACTAATAACTGGAAGAGGTCTCTCTCTCGTCTCTGTTGCTCTCTCTCACAACATGCCACGCTTTTTGGGATGTGAAAGATCAACATCTTGGATCGGGCTAAATCCGGTAAGACGTTGCACCCGCACGCACACACCCACACTGTCACTCGTCTGCATGCGCACATGCGTGCGCATGATTTGAGTCAACATGCAGGATTTAGTGGGATGTCCAGGGTGATCATCTGGGCTGAGGCTATTTCCTGGAAAAAGTTTCATTGTCAGAGAAACACACACACACGCTCATCTGCATGTTGGCGGATGTGTGTGTGCACCCGTTCCAAATCTCTAAATCAGGATTGTCGGGATGTACAAGACGACCATCCCAGATGAGGCTAATTCCTGGAAGACACTTCACTCGCTTACACACACACACACACACACACACACACACACACACACACACAGATATCCGCAGACTCACAGTCAGACATGGACGATGTGCGGCAAATTTCACTTTTTCCACACTTTCAGTTTTAAATGTTTGGACGGACCGAAGTCTTTTGTTGGGTTTTCAATCTTTCCCTGCAGTGAGCAAGCATGCACGAACGAGTGAGCGCATGTGTGTGCATATGCACCCGTTTAGAAGAGTGGCGCAAAGATATCACATGTAGGGTGGAGTAGGGTGGGCTTGGATGGTCTGTGACTTGGCCTGCCTTGTATTTGCGTAGGTTTGGCTCTACACGTGTGTGTGTGTGTGTGTGTGTGTGTGTGTGTGTGTGTGTGTGTGTGTGTGTGTGGTGTGTGTTTGCGGGGCTGGTGCGTCTATAGGCCACTGTGTCTATGAAGCCTCTTGTTTTTGGCTGCGATGGCAACAGACATCACAGTGGGACCGCCGTGGTCACAACCCTCGCCAATCTGCAGCCCGCCGTCCCGCCGCAAGAAGGAGGATGGGGATGAAAAGGGGGAGGATGTCAAAGGAAGGGTGCAGGAGACGATGAACGTGGAGGAAAAAGCGAGGAGGGGTCCAGAAAAAAAAATCTATCTATCTATACACACACATGCATCTTTGCGCTTTCACAACAGCTGCAGCAGTAACAAAGCACTTCACTTAACATCTCACATAAAAATAACCATAATACAAACAGAACACATCAAATTAAAGAATGAAGATAAGTTGGAGTAGAACAAAGAAGGGGACGAAGGTTACAAGAGAATCGTGAGATTAAGGGGAGGAGAAATGAAAAGGAGAAGAGAGAAAATGACGGCCATCTATCTGCATAGCAC